GTCAATGTACTTGCCAAAAATTGCATGAAAATCGCAAATTTAAATGTTTTATTTACTGATGCAGCATACCTTTGAAAATAAAAGAATTCACAAATTATTCAATCTTTTTTAATCAGTTTACGTGTGAACATTTCTACAAAACAACAATGTAATTATAATATTCAATTTACTTGTATATAGATTCATGATGACGAATGCAAAGTTTTAAAATATTTTTTCGTTCGTTTGTTATTTTGGTCAAACGATTTTCCAATAATTTAATCTGACAGCAAATAGTTATTAAAAGATTGCAAATTAAGGTATCTAGAGCAACGTGAATGATTGCTCCTATTGTTAACGATAACAATTGATGAACATACGTTAAATAATATACAAGGGGTGTCATGTAAGCATCAAATGGCAACCATACTCGAAAAGTTAATTGTCTTTCTTTAAAGTCTGAAACCAATGAGGAAAATAAAAAGTTGCTCACCGATAATGAAATCAAAAATGCATAACTGTGTGTGTTAAACCTGAAAAAGAAAAACGATTTTCCTCATTATATGTAATATACTAATAACAATTAAAAAGTAATATATAAAATATATTTAATTTATTTATTAATTAATAGTCATTCTCGCATAAGAGATATAATTAAACGTATCTATCTTTATAGAAAAAGTATTACATATACAGTTTTAGTTTGTTTTATTGTTGAAGCTCAGAAGTTTTTAACACACCCACGAATGCATTAGTATTTGTGCATTGATTTGAAAACTTTTAAGCAAGAATGATTAAAAAATAAATAAAATTAAATAAATATATAAATATATATTTATTAATTTATAATAAAAATAATTCTCTATAAAGATATATATACTTATATAACATACAAATAGGAATAAATAAATACAATAAATAATACAAACCGAGATAATTCGTTAAACTTAGTTTGAATTCTGGTTTCCACTTCATTCAATGGTTTGTATGGTTCTTCTGTTAAAGAACTAATTAAGTTAACAATATTATTACGATTAATCACAAGACTAAACATTTTAAAACAAGATACGGCTTCGGCGAGAAATACATAAATGTCGTCGGAAGAATCATTAGAAACATCTTCGTTTAATATAACACCGATTGCTTGTGACAATGAAAGGGATGTTATTAAAAAAGCTACAAATATTGTATACAAATTATATGCGAAACGTTTGAAAATAGAAATCGACCAGGATTGTGGTCTCCAGCATCCACAAATACTTAGAACAGTTAACGTAGATGGTATGACAGTCATATTAAAACTTGATTAATTGTATCTAAATATTTCTATGTCAAAGTACAATTTATTTCAATATTTTATATTATTTTTAATCGTGAATCCTTTGATCATTTTACCTTTTCAACAATTTAACACGACACGGTTGTTCTTTTTTTTCTCTTTTTTTTTTTAAACGAACTATAACGTTCTGATTTATTACATACACTGAAAAGAAAATACATAAAGAAGTAGTTATCTATTTTATTGATATTTTGTAGTCTCCCCCTTTTTTAGTGACACACACTACGTAATTCTATGTTATGTAATCGAAGTATGTTATTATTATAATATCAAG